CTTTAGGAATTACTGTCCACTACAGCCACTAAATGACTTACCTCCCATCCATCAACATCAAGTCCTCTCTTGCCATAGATATCATAGATGGCTCGTGCCTGTGGTTCACGAAGCACTGAAAAGACATGGATAACCACCAATGTTATTAACCCTCAGAATAGTACCATAACATAATGAACGTCATTTGCTTTATCTGAAAAGCTTTTCTTACCTTCATAAGCTTCATGTACGACGTTAAAAAGTTGTTCTGCCTGACGCTTTAGTTCAGGGTCCCTGTGTTTGTCTGGGTGATACAGCATGCATAATCGCCTGTATGCCGCCTTCAGCTCGTCCTGTGTCGCCTGAGGCACAAGATTAAAACACATAAATGTGAAAGAGAAACTTGTTGGTAAACTCGAGCAACAACATACAAAACACACAGCAGGATGTTGCTACAGCTTAACTCCACTACTTTCACTTTTACTTACAAATCATCCAAGACTTATATGAAATGAAAATGAACTGTTGTACTATGCAGGGTTTAGGTAACAGAACATCCCGAGCAGAAAACAGCTGTTTAAATTCTGGTTTTACTAATATTGTTGTTGGATACACTATAGTAGAACAGAGGCCTGTACTACGAAGCCGGATTTTCGCTTAGCCGGCTGACTTCAGGGAAAACTCGGGCTTTCCGGTCCTACGACGCTGGTTCTCTTTTTAGCGGGCTAGATCTCCATGGTAACTTATGCTGAGCGGCTAACCTCCTCGGGAGGAGGTTAGGTTGCAGGCTAAGAGATCAACTCAGTGAAAGCACCGCCTGCTGACCAATCAGAGCTCCGTGTGCGGAGTTTAAAGCGATCAATTCATATTACAGGATAGAGGAAATACAGAAAAACTGCCGTTGCAGGAAAGACGGCCGGCCAAAATCAACTGACTGTGTGAACGTGAACATTAATAGAATATCCCCTCCTTCAGAGCAATCTGACTATTATAACATTAGCGTTAAGAAAGCTTACTTAAATATCTGCCACGACATAAGTAACCGGATCAGAGTAACATTAAGTACAGTCCCCGGCACTGTGAGTGCAGACGTCGATGTGTCCCATTATCATTCATATCATATCACATCATAATGTATCATATATTTCCTTATTTGAGTCAGCTTCTTGAGCCGTATCTGGCCGTGCAACACTCACAGTGTCACATACTGTATGCAGAAGTATTCTTTTAAGCAACACATTAAGTTGACGAAACACTCGAGTCAAATGTAATTAAAGTCAGATCGTGTCTTGGACGGGGCAGTGATATCATAAACCTGTTAATGTACGCATTCAAACGCTTTTTCTTTTACCAGCTGTATTCACCTTGCAGGTGCAGCTATGTGGCTTTTATCCTGGATAAAGTGTTTAAGTCATGGATGTTTAAAGTTTAACTTCTTCATATTTGACTAATATTAAAGTTCACTTTTCATTCAGGAAGTATGACGCTGCGCTGTCAGTACGCTTGTGATTGGTCGAATGCTCCAAATACCACCCCTTTCATGTGAACGTGCACCTAACTAGATAGGACACGGCTGGCTTGAGCGATCCACTTGATAACCAGCGTCGTAGTACAGTTTAGCCAGAGCGCGTATGTTTTGGATTGGGCCAACCGGCTAACTCAAACATATCCAGGTTAGGAAAATCCGGCTTCGTAGTACAGGCCTCAGGTATAGCCCCAATAGTCATCAAATTAGCTTGTTATGTAATGTTCTCTATTATTATGTTTTATTTTCTTATACACTTTTATTAAGATGTGTTGAGAAAATGTCTCATTTATTTTTTAAGAAAAGTTTGTTTTGCAAACTTTTTTCATATATTTTTGTTATTCATGCTCATCATCTTAACAAGGAAATATACGAGTTATCTTTTAACATAGTCAATCTGGAACAGCATGTTTTTGTGCCAAAATATATTTTGTGTTGAAAATGTCCACTTGCATAAAGTTGTGGACGAATTATTCAGTTTGTTCACTTTGGTGAATCCATTAATACCACAGTTTAAAAAGACTGTTACAAGTAAACATTACTTAACTTTAAAGTAAAAATAAGTATCAAGTAGCATAAAATGGAAACACTGAAGTACAAATATCTCAAAACTGGACTTTGTGAGTTACAGTAACATTACTCGAGTAAATGTACTTAGTTACATCCACCACTGCTTGCATTTGAACATAATGTTCTCTTCTTTACTAATACAGATTGACAGACAGAAAGCATTTGATTCCCAGACAGATATTTCCATTGCAATCTGATCAGCTGTAAATAAGTCATGCTGAAACCCTGAAGTTGTAGCATTAGCTAACTTTAGTTAGCACTGTCCATGAGTTAATTATGAAACTGAAAATAACTGTCATTGTATTATCTTTAGCGCCCAGATCCCCGCAGTAACGCGCCATCCTCTGCCTAACTTTATCAACACACAGCCCCTGCTGGAAAAGTCTTAACCTCACAACCTGTTGGGTGTCTTGCAAAGTATCAAGCCGAGGAGTCACAGCATAGAAATCAATGTCGAGGGTCACAAGCTAGCCACCTAGCTAACGATACATGTGATTGTACACGAAACTGCTCAATATCAGCCGGATACAGTGTATAGAATTGCTTCAACATGCACCTGCACACACATCAAACCAGATCACTGCTGCATATTTTACCTCTCTTCTGACATTTAGCAGGGAATAGTAATCATCGTTGAGGATCTCATCATCGTCCAAGGAAGACGCCATGTTTACACCCGGTCATCTCTTCTTCGTGGCATTCAGGTCGGTTAAAGCCTTCTGTGCGCACTCTATCGCCCCCTTGTGTTGCGGATGAATAACAACACAGCAGCTTTGTTTACATGCTTGTTCATGATTTTTTTCAACTTGTGCTTTACACTTTAAAGTTTAAAATGATCTTTTATTCATCGTTACTGGAGATTTTATGAGGAATTGTGGCGAAATACACATAAGATTTGTTGCAAAGTAAAAAAAGTAGGGTTGGTTTTTCCTCACAACCCCCAAAGAGTGTATAATAAATTCCCAATAAAGTGTAATATATTATTGTTTTACTCTGCAGCTGACAATTTAACAATGTCATGTAATTTTGTATTAAGAAAAACACTAATTTGAATACAGGCATACATATTTAATGCAATACAATTAATATTGAATATACTTACTATACATATAACGTTATATCTAACTTTAAAACAATGTTATCTGCATTCTATCCACCTAGGAACAATTTAGGCTAGGGGTGACTAAACTGCATTAGTCTTTCATTAGTTCATTATTACTTTCTGTGCAACAACAACAAAGCCATCGACTGTATACAAAGGGGCACGAGCAGCAGGCAGCAGAGGAGCTGTCCTTTCAGCACCACCAGCTCAAACTAAACACTGCGTTTCAGCACTGACGGCCACCAGCCTGTTAATGCAGGGTGAAGGCTGTCCTTAAGTACTGTAGTTGACGCGAGTGCCAACAGCACAGCCTATTAAGCACAATGATGTGTAATTAGATTGCCTGTGGTCATTTAACGTAGCCATACTATTGTCAAGCCTATATGCTACTGCGCCATACTGATGGAAGTTAGAAACCTTAATGGCATAGTGAGCAGAATTAAAGTAAATGTAAGCAGTTGTTCTTCACATCTGTGCATCACATCGACCCCCCAGTACCTAAAGTATTTATGTTATATTGTTTTCTTATGGTCGGATCCACATCTTCTAGTATTGCCTGCAGCATTCAGCATCATTGTACGGCAGTATGAAATCAGTTTGACATGGATAATAGGGAACAAACTCGTCCCCAGGCTTTCAAATGTAGACTGACATCTGGACACTTGATTGATAGACAGTGCAGACAATCAGTACTGTTTGATAAGTTTGCAGTGTTGTTTTGGTAGTTTGTATTATGCTATGTTCCCAAGACTACCCAATAATCACATGTCATAGGCTACTGATTTGATTCAATGTACAACAATTAACATTAAATAAAAAAACAAGACAATCTTAAAATGTATTTGCTGTTATGGATGATTAACAGGATAAAATATGCAAATGTTGTATCCGCAGAGAGTTTTCTTGTTATCAGTGGTGAAGACCTCAATTATCAGTTTAGATCAGCAGCTCCGAGGAAAGCTTACATTAAAAACAAACTTAATGAAGGCCATTAAACAGTTAGTCGTCTAATTAGCCTAATATCAACAGACTAATCTAAAAGTTTTCTGTCACTCAGGAGTAAAATTGTTTATTCAGTGTAAAACAACTTTAGAGGGACGGCTCAAAGACAAACATTTGGTATTTACAGTCGAATTAGTTTAAATTAAAACATGCAGCGTCACCTACTGAGCCTTAATTCTTTTATTTTTAATATAATAACACGTCCCCTTAGAGGTGGGAGAAGTAAAAGTACCAGAGTGTAGGGATACTCTGTTACAAGTAAAAGTCTTGCAATCAAATGTTACTCAAGTTAAAGTAGAAAAGTATTAATCAAAATATAGTTAAATTAACAAAAGTAAAAGTACTCATTATGCAGATTGGCCCATTTCAGTGTCATATATATCATATGTTTTGACTACTGGGTAGCTCCAGGTGTAACTAGTCATATTTAAGGGTTGATTATATTTCACATCATTAATCCAAATCTGCAAAGTAACTAAATGTATACAAAAGCATGTAAGTACAATATGTACTTCTCAATTTAAGTAGAGTAAAAGAACAAAGAAGCAAACAATTGAAATACTCAAGTAAAGTACAAGCCCCTCAAAATTGTACTTAAGTACTTGAGTAAATGTACTTAGTTACTTTACACCACTGCGTCCCCTTCTTTTAAGAGGAGCGTCATGCAGCGCCTCTGAGCTGTTTTAAATTCCCTGTAAAAAAACAGAAGCAGGCTGTGGTGTGTGAAGGTGAGGGGAGCTGTGTATCCTCTCTGTCAGTCTCCTCTCGCAGCCAATAGTAAGTTCTGCTCGGACGGACCGACTCGCCGCTGCTGCTCCGGTCCCTCCTCGTGCTGTCCTCGCCGTGCACGCGCGTGGTACCCACGGTCGTGAGGAGGAGGAGGATGTTGCGCGTGAAGGGGAAATGGCTGCCGAAAACAAGCCGGAAGGTAAGAGAAATATAATGGGATTAATTTACTAGTATGACCGCTGTGTGATTTTAGAACAGTTGCAACTCTGTGCGGAAGATGTCACAGACGCGAGGACAAGTGGAGAATTTTTGTGTAGAAAACGTCTCCGCTGTTTTCCTCCGAAAAGGCAGCTAAAACGTGGAGACATCACCTAGCCAGCTAATATTAGCTTGCATTCTAGCCAGCTACTATTCCCATCGTAGCCCACATTTAAAGCACGCCACGGGGACAAACAGTCCGCGTGGTAAAAGTAACGCGTTTATTTTGCTCGCAATTCTTGTCTAAAGGCGAGCAAATTCAAGTTGTTAACAACAATGCTAAGTTAATGACAACATGTCATTGGCATCGACTAACTTCTTCCCTTATTACCCAGCTTTAAAAAAGCGGCTTGCTTCTGTCAGTTTATCTGTCAACACGGCTCTTTTCTTCAATCCTTATGTGCAGGATGTTTTGAATGCATTGTAATGATCATTTGAACATCTCTTTTATAATGTTTTTGTGTTTTAAATTCCTCCGTCTTAGAGAGGCTCGTTCAGTTCTTCCTTGAAGCGCTGGCATTCAGCGAATAGTGTATATGCGAGTCAGAAGTGATGTATTTTTTTTTTTTTTTACATAAGCGGATATTTATTTTTGTCCAAATGCCAATTATAGACTACTACTTGGCCTATATTTGGTTCGAGACACGGGCTTCACAACGTTGTAATGCCCGCTCCGCTCGCAATGCCCTATCGCACTTGAAATGAAATGCCATCACACAGAGGAAGCAGGAGGATGGAGAGTAGGGTTTCCAGCAGCTGCTCATTACACTACTTTACACATAGGGACAAAATGATGACTTTCTCCCTCAGCCTATTTCATACGGCTCACTGACTTAACACTAAATTCACTCGACTTAATTATTTCCTCTTTATGGGATATTTTATAGCAAAACATATGCATAAGCGATCTGTTCTCATTCAGAGAGGCCAATGGAATTTTTTGGTGAGTAATTAAGCTTATATGAAAATATAAAAGATGTATTGCATCAATGCTAAAGGCAGTAGTTTTCAGCTTGTTACTGCTTAGTATTTAAACTGGAACGAGTTAAGGGCTGTCATTCTTAGATGATAAAAAAACATAAATCAACCTTAAAATGCATTTGCCAGATTTGTATTGAAATGACTAAAAACTGTCCAGATTTTGTGCATGTTTAATTCAAATGTCCTGTTCATGTTTATGTTCTTTTTTTGTTATGGTCATCATACTTATAACTGTTTAACTTAAGTTTTTTGATTGACAGAATTGAGTATAATGATATGTCATTAAAACAGTATGTCCTAAACTTGGGGTATTTATATATATATTTTTGAATTAACTTGAAGTGGAGCGAAAGACTCATCCTGCACTTGAAAAGTGTTTGCATAATTTGAGTGCGAGGAAAAAAAAGACTCCTTATAGGTGCAGCTGTTTCTGAGCTGTTCATAAGTAGTGTTGCAGGCTTCCAAAGTAAATAGACCTCCTTCAGAGTTTGGTGTCAATAACCTTCAAAGTGAAGTCTTTTTGAAGTAGAACCACTTTTATGTTTAAAATAGGAGTAAACAAATTGCCTCTGTCTATATGAGGGTAAACGATAAAAGGCTGAACTCAGTTGTTTGGATGTCAGTGTGCCAACCACCAAACAGAGTCCCACCAGGGGGTGCTATTGAGCTACAAAAACACACCTAACTATATGAGGACTCTGTCTGTGGCTATGACAAAAAATAAAGACATCTGGCTTTATGATAGTAATGTCTTCACTGTGGCGTATAGTCCTAATGCATTCATCTACTGAGCTGAACTTAACAAATAGGCTCCAGTTGTTCATCTCGACGGCTCTCCAACACAGGGAGCTCTCACTGAAAAACCCTGGCTTGAAAGTCCCATTGCTGAGCAGGTGAAGTTATTTTCAGTGCTCCTGTGAGGCCGGTCAGTGGAAAAAGGAGGAGGAGCAGCATAGAAACAGAGAGTGCTTCATACCTTGACATAAATGTGATGTCGCCTCATGCAAACGTGGCCCTTAAAGCTTTTACACACAGCTGTCATGCTGGGTCTTTTACTCATGCATCCCATTTTCTTAATTCATGAATGTAGAGCATGCTGTTTAAAAATACATCACTATGACAGTTTTAACATGACATGTCCCTGGATGTCGGGTATAGCCGCGTAGAGAGCTAAACGGTGTTTCCGTAACCTTTTGTCCTTGTGGTATGCACGCAGATCTGAACTCTCTCAGACGTTTGGCAGGTCTTCTGATGGCCCATAACAACTGAGGGTTACATCTTGTGTTAAACCCAAGGGCCACAACCCAGTCTCACCCACTAATGTAATGTTTACATCCTGGGGTATTCCTCTCCAGCCTAAATGATTGTCAGGACCCTTGAGGGTGTTTTTTTTGCTTTTCACACTCATGAAAAGCACTGTGGGTCCGTTACTTTAAGTACAAGGCCTGGAGGGCACTGAAAAGACACACTTGATATCTCACACTCAGACTGCTCTGGAGGAAAGTACAGCCAATGGTTTTATGAATCTACTAGAGTGTAGTCGTAAAAATATTGCTGTTTAAAGGCCAATTTTGTAGAAACAGAACAAGCACTTTAGTAAACACAGGCTCCACTGCTAACACTTCTGTGGTGTTGGGATTCATCATAAAAAATAAACACTGTGCTAAAGTTAAATATTGATGCTTTTAACCTCTGAAGTTGAATCTTGATACGGACAGTTTTGGTCTGTAAAACATTACATAACATTATTTTAAAATCACATAAATGCAAGACCAATGATGGGATAGTTTATTGACACGTAAAACTTGCTTTTGTGAATCCAAGGGAAATTAACTTTTAGGACAACTGAAACACTCTGAAAACTTTTCTTTTAAGAAGAAAAGGAGGAGGATTAGGCCTGTTGCCTCAGCAAAGCTGGAAGTCATATTTCACTTTGATTTCCGAGCGGGTGCAGTTAAAAAAAAGAGTTTCATGATGTTATCTTTTCACTCAAAGTTCAGGGGGAAGCAGCAGCAAAACATCAAGTAAGCACGCAGTCAGCCATTAAGTTACAAAAGTGCCTGTGCAGCACTGGTATAAATATTTCGCCGCTGTTTTCTAAAGAAGGATGAATTTAACCTCATCGTGATGTCAGACGATTCGCTCTCCCAGCTTGTGTTGAATCAGGCGCTACATTATTTTCCTCCAGACGTTGAATTGAATCAGTGAGGTGAGGATGGATGGCACGCAGGTCCGGTCTGTGGTTTCTGAGACGGATCACTTGTAATGCTGCCTGTAATAGACTTTTACTGACGGCTCTGCACGGCATCCACTGATTGATTGTATTGATTCCTCAAGTTTAGCACTGATACAATAAGGAGCGTTAGTGACCCGTATCAAACCAGGTCAGCGTAACAGTGGCACTTCTCAAAACGGTACCAAAAAATGTTCATTCAATGGATTATCTCACTGTTTTAAATGACAACAGACACATTCACTGTGATTTGCAATCAATATTATTACCAGAACGACTAACCCAACAGCTCTTGTGTGTTTGAAATGTATTTCAATATACTGTGTAGTGTCTGTTGATAATGTTTGCATGGGGAGTTTGCTCAGTTATCAAAGGCTGGGAGAATGCTTCTTTTCCTCGATTTTCCTCTACTTTTCTCTTTGCCTCCTGAAGGACTGAAGAAAGTTCGTAATCCGGATCGAATGTACAGATCAGCAGTGTGTTATGCTGGCCATGGTCCACCTAAGAGTATCAGTGATGACACAGAGACGAACAGTAAGAGTCAGTTATTAATACTGCATTTGCTGCTCCAAAGAGCCACTAGCTGGCCAATCTATTATTCATTCATTGATTCATTTATTTACTTCTTGATTTCATCCGTCCCCATGACACCCCCCCCCGCCCCCCCCCCCCCCCCCCCTTTCCCCCTCCAACACAACACCTCCTCCGGCTGCTCTGTTGATTGAAGTGTCTGCTTTACGGGATCACGCTGTCAATAGCTGAAGTGTTGTCGTTAACTAAGAGTGATTGTTTCAGGTTGAGGCCAGGGGATCAGGACCTGAGCAGACCCTCAGAGAGAAAGCTTACACTTTGAGCCATCAATTATGGCCGTGTACTTGCCTTTTTTTCCCCCCTGCTTCTCTTAAACCTGCACTTGATAGAGGAAAAAAAACGACCCGACCGAGAAGTATGACTTAAATAAATCTTGCTAGATCAAATAGTGCCTGACAAAAAAATATTTATGCATTGCTGTATCGTTTAATTGTTTGCTTGGATTAGTGTTTGGTCTGCCTCTCATTACATGTGATCTATGAGAACTGTAGACTAGGGGCACGGAACAAAGACAACACAACATCACAGCTGAGGTTTTTACGACTTATAAAAACCAGCTTCTGTGGGAATTGCTTCAGAGCACTTACAAGTCTGTGTACAAGTGATATTTTCTGCCACAACACAAATAAATCAGTCAGGAATATAGGCCAAAGTCTTGATTTTATTTGAGCGGGATTTCCATTCATTCCTCTTTAGAAATGTGTCTAGAACTTAGCCTTTTGTCTTTACACATTGGAAAACTGTCTTCTGTGAAGCAGATTGCCTCTCAGCATAAAAGGAGCCCCATCATTGTTAATAAATACACCAGTCTCCACGCTGCTGGAAGACTAAATCTAGACTAGAGTGGGGTAATTAAGTGTGCTCATGTATTGTCATTTCTAAATAGAGTCTGAAATCCGCCACAACCCCTTGTTAGACTCTACATGTGTTGCAGGAAGAGCTCTTTTGCACCAAATGTTTTTTTAAAAGACAGGTTTTCTGCCAGGTGCAGATCTATGATGCAGAGTGTAACAGGAACATAGTTGATAGACTTTTACGTTACCCCCTCAAGTGTGACAGCTGTGACTGACAACACATTTTGCCGGTCTTGCTCTTTCCCCCCATGTTATTGCGTGGTATTACACTACCCGGTACCCATGTCAAACACCCTGTTTAATGCGTGCAGCCCAGGGTTTTTCTTCTTTTCCCCTGCCTCACCAGGACACTCTGTAGCAGAATACAGCAGCTCAAGCAGGCAGGTAAACCATTGATCTGAGTAATCGTCTGAGTAATTGTGGGAGTTGTTATGATACAGAAAGAAGGGCTTTGTTTGTGTGCATGTGTAAGCAAGAGGGAGAAAGTGGAAGAGAACAAGAGCAGCAGAGAGGGGGAGTGAGTGAGAGAAAGAGAGAGACCTCACCTCTGCTCTCCTTGAGATGGGATTTTTATGGATGGGTGGGCTTGGAGAGGGCTGAAAACACATAAAGAGTCATTTTCAGTTTGTTGCAGGCAGTTAACCGTGTGTGCATGTTTGTTGAACTTCCAGTAATAGGCCTACGCTTTTTTTTGTTGTGACTTTTTGACAGTCTTCCCTTATTTTACTATAATAAACTGGACTATTATAACCAAATTGAGCCACAGTGCACGCAGGATTGAGGGAACGTTAACAATGTGATTGTAAATTATGAAGTATATTGTGCACAAATGCACAAGAAATGGTGTCAAAATCTCTCCTATTTCACTGGGAGGAGAAAAAACACATTTGTTTTATTTGACAAACAGCTGTTGTGTGTGTTGCAGGTCAATCCTACATACTATAGCTAGAAGCCATGTAATGCCTCCTTGTTGTAGTTTAGTTGTATCATAGCAACACAAGTTCAGTTTTATTTGCGTGTGGGCGATTTGTAAATTCACTGTCTGTACTGTAAGAGTGTTATCGAACAGACCATAGGGCAAATGATAACGATAATTGGTTTCCAGTCCCACACGACCACATGGCTATTTTAAGTCTACATACTTCGCTCTCAATCAGGAGCCATCAGGCGGGGGGGGGGGGGGGAGCTCGGCCCCTGGACTGTGGGCCAATCATTTGATTACTGCCAGGGAAATCTGACACTGCCTAAATGGTCCTGTGTTGTAGTAAAGCCCGGCTCAGAATCTCCCACAAGTAGTTCCGTAAAGACTTCAGTCTAATCAAGTGCTCTCTTCACTAGTAGATACATTATCAAATAAATAGTGTAGAAATTCAATGCAAGTTATTGCAGTCCTGCGACGTTTTAAGCCTCTTGATTTCAGGGCTATTTTATATTTTGTCAAATCGAATATAATTCACAGTAACAAAGAGGAACGTTATGTTTTCCATATGTTCAAAACTAAATGAAGTTAATTTGATTTTTTTTTACGATTAACTTTGCCTATTTTAAATGAGCCTGGAAGTCATGGCTGCAAATGATAAATCACACATTTTAGGGCTGAGCTGAATCACAGGAAAGTGTCCTGATCTGAAGTCTGCAGGGAGAATATCCCATTACTGTAAATGCCATGGCAATAGTCTCCTGCAGGTTAAACCCCCCTTTCCTTCTTCTTCTTTCACACCTCACAACCTGATTGATCGCTTTTAATTGACAGCATGTCATCAGTTGACCACTGCACCTTGTCTGCCTGACTCCATCTCCGCTTCACGTCTGACCACATCCTTCCTTTCTTGTCTAGATTTTTTTTTCATTCATCTGCCATCACCTTGTAACTGCTTTCACCATGTTAACCTGTCACTGCACCTCTGGTATAAGCTGTAAATCACTCATGTCATGAACTGGTCTGACATCTCGCCTCTCATAGATCTGGTTATTATACTAAGTGCATGTCACAACCCACACACTACATGTGGACTGTTTGAATGTAGATATTTTTCATATTTCTCACCATATCCACGCATTTCACAGACTGTAGAAACTGTTTCTTTCAAATCCCCTGCTAGTGATGTATAATGATTTAAAGTGATGTTTGACTGTGTCTGTCTTTCACTGTGACTGCATGACATGTCAATATGATCCAGGGATTATATCATCAAAAATATCTGTTGCTTCTTAGTTTACAAGGGTGCCTCACCAGGTGAAACAATAGAGCTTATTTTATCCTTAAAATGATTCCATGTTGACAAATAAACCTTACAAATAAACCTTACAAAATACATCATGATGTTAAAGTGATGGGTCAGATTTGGTATGATTTCAATGCATGTTAAAAAGTTTATTTTTTACACTAATTTACTCATCATTACACACAGTATCATTCACTGTTATAACGTATTGCTTGGCTACAGTGTATGTGCCGCAGATTAGGGATGTTTTTTTTTTATTATGGTATCTTAAAATGTCTCTCCCCAGTTGATGAATTATGTCTGAGCTAAGCTTATTTAGCTGACTGGGCTAATTTTGGAGCTAACTCTAAGGGGCCTTTTTCAGTCCAGCCCAGTGGATGGCTGTCATCCAACCTAATGATAAGAGACATTGCCATAGGCCTAATTCAGTTTCACAGCACTTCTTCTTGCTGGACGGAGATGAGAGCCAAATGTTTATCCACAGGACTGCTTGTTCTTCTGTGATCCACCGCCCTGGTGTTTCAGGTATAGCTACTAGAGAGCATATACTGTTTCACTGCTCCTCACATCCTTAAGCCATATTAGCCACTGAGCTGTTGTGGAAAATGTTTGCATTCAAACGGTTACTTTGGATATGCACCGCCAGCAGCGATTTGTTGAATGATCTATAGCCAAAACATTAGCTTGCAATTTCTCCACAATGTGGGCACAGATTAAAAAGAAAAACTGTCACTCCCAGAGCGCTGTGAGACAGAGACGGAAGAGAGAGGGTTTTGCGTTCAGGGCTCGGATATTGATTAAAGATTTGTTTTTGTCAGCCTTTCCAGTCTCATGACCCTCGCGCTCGTCTCTAGGGTGGGGCAGAAGCAAGCTAGCATGACAGATACCCTTACATTTGGCCAAAGTGTTTGCTTAGCAGCCAGGTTCAGTGATAATCCAAACATCAGCAGACAGAAATTATTATTATACGCATTTGACGGAGGGGGATGTGAATTATGAAGGGGCACAGGCTGCACAGGAATGTACAGTAAAGGCAACATGAAAGCTGCAGACCTATAGCCTCGGTTTTGAACAGAAATCCTCGCCCAGTTTATCCTTTTGTATGTGAGCTCGCTCATCAACATGTAGAATGTAATTGGCTCCAGTGTGCCAGCCCAGCTCAGCACATCCTCTCTATAACAAGCTCTGATATCAGCCTGTGTTGCACTTTAGAGTTTTACAACCAAATAGTAGTTTTCTTGGCTAATGTACAAGCAGTCATTAAGCTTGCTCTTTCTACTCCAAAATAAATATGAAACCTAACAGGGGGAGTCCAGAAAATGCAAAGAAGTGGAGTTCATTTCAGGGTTTGATCAGCTCCCGGTAAAAACAAGGATACATTTACATTTTCAAAGCCAGATTTCAGTCGGTAATTTGTTGTTTAATCACCGATCAAATCAGGCAATTTGATTAGTAAGAGCTCGTCTATATTCTGTAAAGCTATTCCAAATCTGGCATCCAAGCTTTTCCCCCTGTGGGTTGTTTTCCTCAGCTATAGCACAGTCCACAGTATATGTGGATTTTCATGCCACAGTGGACATATCTTTAATTAGTAAGCAATACTTTGTTGGAAGACTCACAGTTCCTGCTTCAAATCTGTGGAAATGCCCGGTGGAGGGAACAGTAGACATGCAGCAGCTGAAATACTATTAGTGTAGATAAATAGCAGCTGAAAGAACAAAAGCGTTTAGAGTTATGAGAGCGTGATGCTGTGGAAAAGAAACCTCAGCACTCAACAAAGAGTTGAGATGTTGAGTTCACCTTTTGTGTGCTTTGAGAGCCTCGCCAGGAACGTTCTCGTGTAAAAACATGCCCCTCTCAAATTAGACAAGGACTCCCAGATTAGAGAAGGCCAACTCTGAACATCTAAAAAAAACAAGTGCCACATCTAAAACACATGGTTTATTTAACAGCACAAAGCAGCGTGCACTGCTTGAAACATGACAGTAGTTTGCCCGTTCTTCAAGAAAATACACGCAGGCGTTATTCTGAGATAGATAAAAGCGTAAATGCAGCACTACAAACTAATGTGTATAATCTAATGTTAATGTACTATAGGCTGTTAAAACGCCTCCACTGTATATGGACCATGTGTTGGCGATATGAGTCAACAGGCTGGACAGTTTCCTGGTTTGCCATCTTTGCTTTTTTCCTCTGCATAGTTTAATGTTAATTTAGCAGCAAAATGAACATCCACACCAGCCTGTCTTGAATAAATAATGAATATGTCACGGCAACATTAAACCTCAAATAAATGCTACACTAAGTGCTTTGTCCATTTAACTGGTGATGCTACAAACACCAGGAAAGCATCTCAGAAGAGAAAAGTTGCTTTAATTCGGACATTATAAAATTACATAGGTTTCAATATAAAAATGCAGATTAGCCAATCTTAATATTTATGTTGCAGCGAAGATCACTAAATAGGCCTGTCATTATAATAAATATTCGGCTGTGAATCATTTGAATCGCCTGCGACTAAATCATTGCAATTCATTGCATTATCCCAATAATCATCAGATATAAAACATTATCAAAACATTTAGTTAAGAAATACATATCAGTATTGCATTACAGATACAACAAATCATTTCTAGAGGAAAGCAAAACATCTTAAATTAAGTAATCATAAATCATAAAGTCTGCCTGCATAAATTAAGGACAAATACATAAAACTAGAACATCTGTCTGCTCTTTCTTATTCCTGTATTTTTAAATCAGAATCTGCTTTTCACTTCTCTCATATGAAAGAGAGCTAGACAGCTTTTTATTTGTATTACTTATTACTTTATTATTACGGTCAAACAATTCCACAGTTTAGCCTAAAACATTGAAACTTGGTTGACTTGTCTGTATGATTAGGCTCAATTTCATGAAGCAATGTCTTATAAATAAGACACTATGAATAGGCTATATAGTTGACAAAGAAAGTCAGCAAATTACGGTACATTTTAAATGTGTTAAATCTTTTAGGAGAGTTTGGCGGAGGGATACGTGAGGCTGCGTAAAGTGGAAGGGACAGGTGCACGTTGCTGTTATGAAAACAATGGCGATTTTTTTTCAATATTCCCGTCGATTTGGACCGTTTATCAACGCGGTGAGCACCTGAGGGTTTAGCAGTGGAAGTGGCACACAGATCATGGAGGATGCGAGGTATTTCAAAAACATCAGCGTCCGCGATTACTGCGGTCAGCGGTAACATATGGAACTTTACTCCGACTAAAAACGTAGTCATAACCCGTCCGTTAAATCTGAACACACATGCCCACATGATAAAGATTTACTGTAGCTTTTCGAGTATATCAGTATCCACCGAATATCCATAAACTTGCTAAGAAAGTATAGAAACGTAACGCTGACTGTAGCTCCAGAACTAGCTTGAGAATCGCCACTTTTTAAAATTGTATTTTTAAAATACAATTTTAGTATGAAAGTAATCCAGTGATAGTAGGCACATTTGCATCCACGTTTACCAACAGGAGTCGCTAATGGCTAATTCGGCATCTAGGCTACTGTAAACGGTGCCAAATTGCAAACATGTAAACAAATGTTAGTATACGCCTCGAAACTGGGTTTATAGTTTCTAGTTTGCTCCAAAGCATTGTAGGAACTACTTTCCCAAATTTAATTCAGGGTATAAATTGCAATTTGTTAGCTTTTTGTGCTAGTCAGTAATACAGGTAAAGAAATGTTTTTGTAAAACTATTCAAAATGTAAATCATACTTTTGAATATAAAAGCTTTTTTAAATCATGTTTACAAAACAACGTTGTACAGATTGTGTCCAGTAGGATTCTGTCTGCTGGGAACATATCGTCTGAATATAGATTAGGCTTTTATGAAGGGGTCTTCATAATAGAGATGTGTCTTTTTCACATTCAGCAGGTTTGTTTGCACATTAGTAATCAAACCCCAGTTTCAGCAGTAACCTGATTTCAGAGGCGTCCATGTAAGGTTAAGGGATTAAGTTAACACCTTGTTAGTCCTGCAGGGTTTACACAGGCTAGCTGGCTCTGTTGCCTGGGGGGTTGTTAGCTGAAAAATACAAGACTGGCATTTCATAGGAAAAATGCATGTTGCCGTTGTGTCACCTTTCCATGTGCACAGCATACTGAACAGAGGTGATTTTTTGCATACTTCAGGCAGAGAGAGTTTGCACAAAAACATGTTGTGCGATGACCAGTGTAGAAGATTGTGCAACGATTACACCAAGTGAGGATTTTATTACATTATTCAAATCTTCTAAACTGTATATGTTCATCCCAAGTGCCTGCTGGCAGATTGTGTAGACATATCCTCCTACAGAAGATGTATAACTGAGAAAACTCCTCACCATACTTGAGACATATCCCAGTTCAGCTGTGTCTCAATGGTGTCATAGAGGTGTGTGCCAGGGAGCAGCATTGAATTCTGAATAATCTGTGCAGACAGTTTTGCCATATGTATCGGCTGCTACTGCTGTCTGCCGGTTTCTACTCAGCCATGCTGCATCTGAGTTTGCATCCATTGAGATTTTATTTGTGAGTGGGCTTCAATATTTACGACCTTTTCTTGCTCGTCTTGAGCCTTTTAGTGAAAGATTACGAAAATGAGGCCCTGCTAAAAGCTAGACTACAGTGTCTTGCTTATTTTAAATTGCTTTATGATTATACAGCGTCTACACAAAAAGCAACCTCCTTTTTTTCTCATGTACCACTCTGATCATTCAGTTGCAGCGTGTTTTCCAGTTCTGAGGGTGAAGCCGCTCTGGTGCTACCGATGAGCAGATGCTGTATGTGATTCTTAATTGGGCAGAGCGAATGATTAGAGATACCTGCTCAGCTCTTATAAAACAGGGTGTACACGCAGAATTATAGGTACAGATGGAAATTGCGAATACCACAGATCTACTCCTGCGTTCCTTTGGGAGCGATGATGTTCCTCCTTACACATTACACTCCACGGCAGCTACATCTCTGAGGACCGGCGGTGTTCATTCCCACTGAATTTTCCATATGGGAATTTCTAGGCAGGAGCACTTGGTTCTGTCTGTAATGTACGCCAGGCTGCATGCTCGCTTTTTATATCCTCATTATCAATGCACTACCGGACTATTTGTATGGGTTTCAAAGTGGTATTTTGCTCGGTTCAACTCTTTTTGCTTCTTTTTTTTATTACTGATATCAGCAACCCTAGGGGTCCGTAGTCAGCACTCATATTCGGGCTTGTCTCTGCCTTTCCTACCCTAGTATCCTAACCCACAGTTATACAAGTTTGAAGGAATGTTGTTTTCTAGCTGTTTTTCAAGCCAAATTGCATTGCAAATAAATGCGGTATTTTGAGTTACCTTTTGGTGAATGTGTTTACATTCAATCCACCCAAATTAAAACTGAATAATACATGTATTTGCACACACACTCAAAAAACTCGTTTTCAGTTTGTAAATGCTCTGGCAGTTTACTCTAAACAAAAGATTGAATGCTCACAACAAATATAACAGGTGACAGGGATAACCTTAACTTTAGCAGAAACTATAGACAAGAAAAGCGCATTCTGTTTGCTTGCTGCGTTTTATATAACACACATGGTAAATGATTTCCTCGATCACAGTCTTTTATGTGTCCGTGCATCCTTTTGAAATGAACCATACACCTTTTCCACACACAGACCTTTTCGATGCCGATATTGCTTTTTTGACGAGCATTTTCCATCCAAATACTGTGAATTGTTTAGTTTAATTTAAACGTATTCATGATAAGATCTTTGCCTAGAATATCCTTGTTTTGTATCTTAGAAACTTAAAGGATTTCCACATCAGCCTATATCTAAAGTTCTGAGGGGAAAAAAAACACGCCAATACTATAATGTATAGATACAGTATATATATATATATATATATATATATATCTATGTAGAGTAATTATTTCATTATATAATTCATTCAACATGTTTTCGTCCTCTGAAACAAATATCATTTGTTCATATTTGAGCCATCTGCATATTTTAGAAGGAATAAAGCACTGGAATGAGAGGAACATTTAAATGCATCCATGCATGAGAGCATCCTTAAACCCTACTGTTTTATAATGGTTGTGAAATGTAAATTATATATTGAACGACATTTATTGTGATGTAAGCATTGGGCCTGGTAATTGTAATTATTTCCCTGAATAATATACCACATTCTGGCTTGCAGCACGCAGTTTCCCATACCAAATCCCCATACACTTTAAAATCACTCAAGGGTGTTTATTGTGTCTAAATAATGAATAGACACAGCCTTTACAAGTTGACAGTGAAACATTTCTGGTGAGCTCCCCTGATGGAATGCATTTCACATTAAAATAATTGAGTCCAGTACAAAATAAAATGTATGCAATAAATGAATTTCCTTATTCAGTTGGGGATTGCTATTTGACAGTCTGTGTGTTGCTGCAGACTGATAGACTGATAAAGAGGCAGATGAACAAGTGAATAAGAGATGAAGCCTGTGCTAAATATTCTGTTTTGTCTTGCTCTTGTTCTAGATGAACATGGACATTTGAAAATATACCTGCCCAAGAAGCTGCTTGAATGTCTACCAAAATGCACCTCGCTGCCAAAGGAGAGACACCGGTGGAACACTAATGAG